GAGCCACCATTCCAGACAACAGCAGGGGTAATTCTCACCCTCATGCTGCAGTGAGACTCTCTGTCCGGGCTGGACTCAATCACATTCTTTTGGCCAGTTAAGGGAACATCTGCTTCTATATAGCCATCTCTGCATATCTCAGTGAATAGAGTTGAAGTAAAGGTCCCATAAAGGTGAGGAGCTTTATTTCTCAGGAGAGTGCAGCCTGGTGGCCTCCCACAGGTGCAAGCAGAGACAGCAATGTAGAAGTCCAATGAGAAGTTACTTTTCACTTGAACTCTTATTTTCATGTAGAAGCCTTCTGGGTAGAAGCCTTCTGGGTAGCTTTCTGCATTTGGTAGGCTAGAGCTACAGTTCCTCTCATCATAATGAGTTACACAACTGCCATCCTAAATTTGATTCCATTGAGTGGTAGGTAGCCTTAAGTTTTCCATCTACACCTACATTATAGAGATTTGTCAAGTAAATTCACCTGACCTACACACTATGTTCTAGTCAACTAAGGTCACAATATATATTATTGAACTTGACTCTGTTGCTTTTAGACTCTGCCCCTCCCCAAGAGAAAAACACTGTGCTAAGGAGTCCAAACTCAGAGCATTGAAAATAGTCAGAGCATTGCACCCTCTCACTGTTTGGAAATCTTTGCTTAATAACTTCTCGATGAGATGATTCATGTATGAGGTTTGTTTAATCCCATCAATTAAAATAATGCACAATTTCCTGGTTTTTAGAAACTGAAACACCCAAAAGAGATGAAACAATTTTATCCATCACCGAAGACCACCAGGAAGAACGCAGGCTTTCAAATGGTAAGACACTCAAGTTAAAAAAAAAAAAAAAGAGCTACCTTTTTACTCATAAGATTCACATTACATATTGAAGAAAGGAATTTGATCATTCCTTAACCATAAAATGTGAGGTAAGTCATTATCACACTTATCTTGTGCTCAAAGACATTATATTTAAAATATCTTTAAACCTTTGAAGGAAATGACAGATATTTGTTGAGTATCTTCCATCCTGGTTTCTGTGAGAGATCTTGGGGGACACCATAAATAATGGCCACAAACTTTCTATGAGAAAGCAGCCAAGAGACCAGGAAGTGACAAAGTACATGATGAATTGAAAAGCATAATGAAATAGGACCTATGTCAAAAGGCAAAGAATTACACAATAAGCAACCTGAAAGCTCACAAAAAGGGAAAGATCCTTCAATGTAGGAAGGAGAAAACAAGTATTCCTTCAAATCTGCCTGGAACTTAACATGGCGAAAGATAAATAAATGGATATTTATTCAGAAACTGTGCTCATTCAGTTAGGCAAGAAGAAAAAGTGCTAGAGATCCATACAGCAATGTGTACATAATTGACAACATTCTCTCCTTAAAAATGTAGGAAGGTAGATTTCATGTTATAGGTATCTTTCCATCAAAACCCTGTGAGATGCTAGTGACATAAAAATATATCACGATAGCTCCTGCCCTCAGAAGTACTTTCCATCTAGCTTGGAAAATAGCAAAGCAAAGATAAACTTGCTCTGTTAAGAGATGTCTTAGTTTGTGTAGGCTGCTATAGCAAAGTACCATAAACTAGGTGGCATATAAATCACAGAAATTTTTTTCTTAAAGTTCTAAAGCTAGGAAGTCCAAGATCAAGGCATTGGTAGAATCAATGTAGTCAGGATGCATTTCCAGGTTCATAGTTGTTCACATGGTAGAGAAGGACAAATGAGCTCCTTTGCCTCTGTTTTATAAGGACATAATCCCACTCCTAAGAGCAGCACCTTCATGATCTAACCATGCCCATAGCCCATGCTCTTACCACAGTTACACTGGGGTGTAGGCTTCAACATATGAACTCGAGTAGAGGGGTGACACAAACACGTGGACTCTAGCAAGAGGCAGGCGCTATCAGAGGACCAAGCTATGATGGGAACACATAGGGGCCTCCTAATATAGGCTTTCCAGAAGACAGGACATGGAAGTTGAGTCTGGAAGGATGAGGGATGACTTATAATTTAGAGAACAGGAAGTATGCAAATGGAGGGGCAGACAGGAAGGAGATTGTGAAAGGTAACCACCCATTACAGGGCAAAGAACATGGCAAAGGAAATCAAGGCATGTTCAGATGTGCAAATCTGAGGTGGTAAAAACATTGTTTTCAGAGACGGTAAGTAGTGTAGGACACCACAAGGAGTAGAACTGGGGAGGTAAGTGAGGGCTGTATGTTGTCTGGCTGTGTGGTTTTCAGCATGGCTGGTGGATGGTGAGCAAAGCTGGAATAGATGGGCTCAGGGTTACAGAACTGGTCAGGCTGGATGAGTAACCCTACAGAGAACTGTCGCACACCCCAGATCATTGACCAGATCATTTCACAATCTCCTTCCTGTCTGCCCCTCCATTTGCATACTAAATTATGGTCAACTCAGTCCCAGCTAGAATTGGTCTTTGAAGAGGCCCAGTCAGCTACGGTGTCGCTAGGTTTCTGACTAGGAGCACTTCATTTCTACTGAGGCACTAAGGACCTTGTTAGAGAACTGAGATTTCATGAGGAATTTGACTGGATGGATGAACATAAGCCATGTTGAAGATCATGTATTCTCTAGAATACTTAAAATTTAAGTTGTTAATTAAAATTACAGATACTTAAAGCTCCTAAGTCATATTCCTATACAGACTAAAGTCTTTCAGTCATGAGAAGGTGGGCAAATGGCATTGATTTCAGGCTGTTGTGGGGGCCATTTGTTGAATGAGTATTACAGTCAAACAGAATTTATTACAGTGCTTGCCATATTGTGAAAACAATGTCCATAACTTTACATGCATTGTAAAAACATCAATGATTATGCAATTGATTCAGTCACTAGCATTTTGCTCACTAAAATATTATTAAATTGATACAAAAAGAGTAAGGTGAGATCCTACTTGTTGATTAAATATATTCTATTTGTATTAAATCTATTAAATAAATTAAATCTATTTGTATTATTTCCTGTGGGATTGGGGTTTTTCATAAAGGTTTTGCCTACACCTGTATCTTCAAGAGTGCTACCTATTCTATCTTCCAGTAGATTTAGGGTTTCTGTTTTAATATTGATATTTAATAATTTGATCCATTTCAATTTTAAGTTAGTGCATGGTGAGAGACTTTGGTCTTGACTTAACCTTTGGCATGTGGAAGGCCAGTTTTTCCAGCACTGTCTATTAAAGACGCTATCTTTCTTCCAGTGAAGGCATTTGGCTCTTTTGTAAAAGATAAGGTGGCTAAGTGTGTTTGGAGTTGTTTCTGCACCTTCTAATCTGTTCCACTGATCCTCAGGTCTGTTTTTTTGATAGTAAAATGCTGTTTTTATCATGGTGGCTTTGTGGTATAATTTTAAGTCAGGATTGTTGTATTCAGGGTTTACAGGGCAATAGATTTAGTACAGGATGCATAACTTATAGGATTATTTTATAATATTCACCCAGAGTCAAATGCAGAAGCATGCAGGAGATCTGTTCATGAACTAGAGACCCAAGGACTCTAGCTGAGAGCCTAGATCCCATGGCAATATCCTGCATGAGTCCTGCTGAAGACCTAGAGCTCATGACAGTGTTCTCCATGAGTCTAGCTGGAGGCTTAGAGCCCACAACAATGTCTCATGCAAGTCTGTATCAAGGATCTGCTTGGGAAGGCCAAAGGCCAGTGGTGGAATCTAGAAAGTCTGTGCCAGCAGGGTGAAGGATCTGTGTCAGCAGCCTGAGGGTTCTGCACTGGAGCCAGAAAGTGACAGTCAAGGTAAGGACCAGAGCTCCCCTGAAGAGAACCACAGCCATCCTCGATGACAGTGAGGACCTGAGCTTTTGCAGTGAAGAGAACAGCCAAGTTCATATCAGGAAAGCCAACGTGACAAGCTTCTCCAGGAGAATCAACAGCACACCATCTTCCCCTCCTGTTCTTTTATGTTGCTGGCAACAGTCTTTAGGTGGTCCTTCCACACTCACAGCCACACTGATTCAGTTCAGCTGGGTGTTGCAAACTGACTATTAGTTAAGTCACCACAGGGATCATGACGCCTCTGTCTTGCCTTTGTTGCCCACAAAAGCCTTTGCTATTCTAGGTCTCTTCTGATTCCAAATGAATTTTAGGATTATTTTCTCTAATTCTGTGAGATATACTATTGGTATTTTGATCAGGATTGCATTAAATGTATATAACAACTTTGGAAGTATGGCCATTTTAACTATATTGGTTCTTCCTACCCAAGAACACAAGCATATTCTTTTCTGATATCCTCTTCAGTCTCTTTTTTCAGAGTACTGTAGTTTTCAGCATAAAAGTCTTTTACTTCCTTCTGAAAGGTGTGGTTTCCTTAATTTCTGTCTCAGTGAGTTTGTTATTTGTATACAGGAATTCTATTGATTTTTGAGTGTTGACTTTGTATCCAGCTACACTACTGAGTTTGGTTATTAACTCTAGAAGTCTTTCCGTGGAGTTTTTGGGGTCTTCTTTGTAAAGTATCGTGTCATCTGCCAGTAATGATGATTTAACTTCTCTTTTTCCTATCATTATTTATTTTATTTCTTTCTCTTGTCTGAATGCTCTGGCTAATGTTTCCAGAACTGTATTGAAAAGGAGTGGTGGGGGGCTGGGGATTTAGCTCAGCGGCAAAACCGCCTGCCTGGCAAGCGCAAGGTCGTGAGTTCGGTTCCCAGTACCGGAGAAAAATCAAAAAAAAAAAAAAAGAAAAGGAGTGGTGGTAGTGGACATCCTTGTCTTGTTTCTGATTTTAAAGCGAACGTTTTCAGTTTTTGATCATCTAGTATGATATTGACTGCTGATTTGTCATAGGTGGCTCTTTCAAATTGAGATAAAGATTATTCCAATTTCCTGTTGGATTTTTATAATAGATGAGTGTTGGACTTTGTCAAATCCTTTTTTGTGTCTATGGAGATGATCATGTGGTTTTTGTCCTTGTTCTGTTGATATGGTGTATTGCATTTATTGATTTGTGTGTGATGAACCATCCCTGTACCCCTTTCATGAATCCTGCTTGGTCGTGGTGTATAATTTCTTGATGATTTGCTGCATTCTGTTTGCCAGTATGTTACTGAGGATTTTTGTATCTATATTCATTAGGGACATTGCTCTGTAATTCTCTTTTGTGATTGGCTGCAGAAATCTAGGTTATCGGTACCTACTTGGAGAACTTGTATTCAAATATGAAGGAAAAAAGAGAAGAAACAGACAGATTCTGAGACACATATGAATTACCAAAGCTGAATCAAGAAAATATAAAAATTCTAAATAACTCAGTATCTGTCAATGAAATAGAAGATGTAATTAAAAACTTACCAACAAAGAAAATCCAGGTCCTGATGGATTCACAGTTGAATTCTACAAAGAATTTAGAGAAGATCTGATGCCACTACTCCTTTAATGAAATTGAAAGGGAAGCAATACTCCCAAACACATTCCTGGAAGTAAATGTTACCCTGATATCAAAACCTGAGAAGGAGCCAATCAAAAAATAGAGGAGATGTATCTGACCTCTAGTACCTTCCTCTTGGGCTCTTTCTCTACTCTCTGCTTCTTGGTTCTCATAAAATACTTGTACCTTTATTCATTTCTGTCCATCATGATGTTTCTGCATTGGAAACAGTGCATCACAGACTGAAATCTCTGAAAGAATGAGACAAAATAAACCTTTTACTTTTTGTCTTTTTGAGACAGGGTCTTGCTATGCAGTGAAGGCTGGCCTTGAGCTCACTTTGTAGCCCAGGCTGGCCTTGAACAATGATCTTCCTGCCTCAGCCTCCCAAGTGCTAGGATTATAGGCATGCACCACCATGTCCAGCTAACTTTTTTCTTTAAAAAGAAGAAGAAAAGAAAAGAGTAAGAGTACCAGGGTTTCCCCTCCCCATAAACTAGAATAAAATAGAAAAAAAGAGGTAAGTAATAAAAAGTTTCAAGAAAATGAAAGTAAAAATAGATTAGAAAAGGTGTATTATTTCATGTACTTCTCATTTCATTTGTTTATACACAAGTGCACATACTGGGCTATAACATAAAATGTATTTTTTTATTGCAGATACTGGTCCACAGTGTTTGAAAAACACTGATGTAGACATCTCACAGGCTGCTGGTTATATTTTAAACTCAACATGTTTTGTTTAATTTGTTTTCAGAACGTAAAGGTAGCATGTATTCTGCCTCAGATGAAGTTGATCTTGCAAGGTAAGTCAGTGGAGCTACAGGGGATCTTCAGAGAACTCGCTCTTGTTGTTCATGTTGTCTGCTTATAGAAAATGATATGGTCAGAAGAAATGGCCAGAAATGGAAATAAGTTTTAAATAACTCTGGTCTTTTTTCTTTTCTCTCCCCACATTTTTTCCTTTCTTTGCAGAACTCTGAAACAATTGCCAGAACATGACTCAGATGTGTGATCCTCCTGCCTCAGCCTCCCTCAGAGTGCTGAAATTACAGGAATGAGTCACCAAGCCTGACTGATTCCTTCCTTATACTTCATAAACCCTTTGAAAGAGGGATAAAAATCATAATATAGTAATTATTTTTAATATTGAAATTGCTTCCTTTTAGAGACTGAGTGCACAAACTGCCACCCAAAACTCACTTATTTATTGCCAAGTACCAAAACTGCAGTTAAGCATGAATACTGATGTTTTAGTTTAGAAAAAAAAATTCATATATTAACATATTTTATCTTAAAAGAAAAACACAATAACAGAACTTTCAATGATACAAGCAACTTTCTACTGAAAGGTAAAAGTGCGTTTGGCATACTTTTGCACAATTAATGTGATCTTTGCTGTTGTATACATGCTGATAATTTGTCAAACCTTGGCAGGGGAAGGGGCTTGCACGCCAACAGAAAGAGCTCCTGTGTTTCTCCTGCAGCATGCATGCCATAGACTTACTACCACTGCTATATACAGTTCCTCATTCAGTAACCAGCTCATTTAACAACCTAGTCACAGGAATGGAACTCAGTCGTTAAATGAGGGATGTCTGTATTTGTGAATATTTATGCAAAGGCTTGGATTGAACTCCATGCAAAAGTGTTGTAACATCTTGCAACTTAAGAGAACAAGGCTTTCTGAGAAGCTTCAGAATGTAAGAATCAATAGAGGTATCTAGACAATTTTCTTCACTGTTTGGGATGAAATACCTGACACAAAGTAAAAAAGGAGAGGTTTATTTTGGTTCGTCGTTTTAGAAGTCTTGGTCCAGCATCACTGGCTGGCTCCAAGGCAGAAAACAGCATAGCAAAAGGCATAGAAGAGGAAAGTTGCTCACAGCATGATAGCCAGGAAGCAGAGAGAGAAGGGAGGCATCAGGAAGAGAGATACACACTTCCAGGTCATTTCCCAGTTATCTCTCTGGTTCTGACCAGACCCCACCTCCTAACAGCAAAGTCGGCTATATCACCCCCAGGATTCAGTTACCTTCCAAAAGCCCACCTATGAATGCATAAAGGACTTTGGAGGAGCTTTTTGATCCAAGCCATAAAATTTCACCCTGACACCCAAAAGACTTGTGTGTCCCTCTTTATGCAAACTGCATTTAATCCATCTCTAAGACTCACAAAAGTTTGAACAGTTCCATCACTGCTGAAAAGTCCAAGTCCAAAGTCTTATCTGAGACTCAAGGCAAACTTTTAGCTGTGAACCCCTGTTAAAATCAAAGAGAAAGTCAAACACTTCCAGCATATAGTGGCACATGGTAAACATTCTCATTCCAAAAGGAAGAAAGAGGGGAATAGAAAAGAATCAGACCAATGCAAGACTGAAACCCAGCAGGGAAGCATTAAGTCCTCTAATTCAATGTCCAGCATCTGGGGCAAAAGTGTGAGTTCCAAAGGGCTCAGGAGGCCTTGCTTCACACACTGCTCTCTCAAGCCACACTGCCTGGTCTCTTAAGTCTTCTTTTGAAATCTATGTGAAAGTCTTCTTGACCCCACAATTCTTACACTCTGCCTGCTGGTAAAACCAGCACCATGTGTATGACACCAAGATCTGCTGCCAGTTTGAGCTAGGCATGGCTATAGCAGTCTCTGAGTGCCTGGACAGCTCAGCACTGTGAAACAAATCCTAGGGAACAAATTTATGAGCAGAGTGTTCTGGGACTGTCCTCTCAAAGCAAAGTCTTCAATCTGGTTCCTTGGGATTTCAAAAGGTTGGGTCTTGCTGATTTTCAGGATGCTGTTAACACATCCTACCAACTGTTCTGATACAAAGTATTTGGCTTCCTTTTAATACTAATCTTTTTAATCAGACAAGCTCTCCTTGGCCAAAACTTCACAGTCCCCAAATTTATAGACACTTCCCTTCTGCCTGAGCAATGACACCTGCCTGTGCAGTGCTCAGGATACTCAGTACATAAACAAATGTGCTGCCCAAGTGATGCTCTGAATAAACTGATAAGTGGTTAATCTCAGTGTCCCATAAAGTCTCCAGACATATATAAAATGTAGACAAATCTTCTACCAAAGCATAATACACATGCAATGGAATCCTTGTTCCCAAGTGAAACCTTCTGAGCTTGGTCTTTATTCTCTGGCTTTCTATCAGTATTTTGGTTCTCTGATCTCTGACCAGAATCTCTCATAAAGCTCAGCTTATATCATTCTAGGCCTTCTCCAACTGGGATCTACAAATTCCTCCTGCAAGCCAGTTCCAAAGGCTTCTAAACCACATGGTCAAGTACAGTCACAGTTATGACCCCACTCCTGGTACCAGTTAGTCAAGTTCTTCAGCACTGGGACAAAATATCCAACACTCACAACTTAAAGGAGGAGAGGTTTATTTTGGCTCCCAGTCTCAGAAGTCTGTCCTTCAATGGTCATCTGGCTGCAAGGCAGAAATCATCATGGCAAGAAAATGTAGTGCAGGAAAGGTGCTCACATCATGGTGGTCAGGAAACAGAAGGGAGGAGTCAGAAAGGGAGATGTACCCTTCCAAGTTATGACCCAGTGACTATGTCTTCTGACCACACCCCACCTCCTAATAACAAATCAGCTATATTGTCCCCATGATCCATTTATCTTCCAAAAGCCCTGACTATGAGTGCATGAGGCCTTTGGTGGATATTCTCAATCCAAGTTATAGTAGTAGAAGAAAATAAGAATAACTGCAAACACTGATGTATTTTGAATACTAAAAACCAGTCATTTAATTCTCTGCTTCCTACAATGGATTTTTTTAGATTTTTTTTAGGGGGCTGTTTTTGGGTTTTTTGGGAGGGTACCGGGAATCAAACTCACGACCTTGCACTTGCCAGGCAGGCACTGTGCCACTGAGCTATATCCCCAACCCCTGATTTTTTTAGATTTGATTACTGAAACCTTCTCTAAGAAGCTACAGATTCAAGAATCCATAAATAGTAGGCAGGTGCTAGACAAGATATCAATGAAGACTTTCTTGTTCTATGAACAAAGCTGGGTAGTGGAAGATCAAGTGTTCTTGCAGTATAATCCCACCCCCACATCCAGGGGCTTCAGGCTAGCTTGACCACTCCCCTGGAGCCTAGCTCCCCTTTTTATAACCAAGTCTCAGTCAGTGAGAACCTAATCCTTCCATCAGAATGAATAATTATATAAGTAAGGTATTGAACAAAAATACATTTTACAAGTCCATATTTCCAAAGTATGTACCTAAGTTTGCCCCATATTTTATGAAAACAAAGCTGGTATAGATTTTTTTTTTTCTTTTCCCCCTCCGGTACCAGGAACTGAACTCATGACCTTGAGCTTGCTGGGCAGGCCCTTTTGCCGCTGAGCTAAATCCCCAGCCCCTCTGGTATAGATTTTTGTGGTTGACCAACCAAGATCTTCACCAAAGCTCCACATGTATTTAACTGTCCAATAAAATGAACACAGTTTAGTGGACCTTTCGTTCTGAAAGTGTGTATATTTGGACTGGGGCTAGCTATGGAGAATTAGAATTAGTGCACTGAGGAGCAGCAGAACTCAGAGACAAAATAGAGCTGAGAATATATCTGCCTACAGAATTCAGAACAACATGCAGAGGAGCCAGAACATACTGCACGTGTCATAAGGACAGATGAGGCCAGAATTACATTTGCTCTATGAAAATATCTAATAATGGTCTCATGGTTTTATTTCTTCATAGAATCTTACAGGTTCACTTCCTCAGCCATTGAATCAGAATGAATACAGGAACACAGTAAACAAAGGAAGAAGGGAGTAAAAGAAAAGCTAGTAAAAATAAACAATTAATATATACTGTATGTTAATAGCTACATCTCTTCATTTTTCTTCCTTTTACAGACTCTGAAGGCAAAACTGAAAGACACTAACAGGTGCAGTTAGACCAAATCTAAAGTTTCTAGTTATTTGGCACTGTAATAAATACAGAAAGATCTACAAATGGTTGCATTTAGGGAAGAATAACCTTGAAGATTTATTGCAGCCTAAGATATTATTATGCTGAGCAATTAAATATTTTTTGACAGCACAAAAAGTCAGAATTCAATCATTTTGTGTCACCTATGTTCACTCCTGTGTTTCTTTGTTTCTTTTCTCAGAAATAGTTTGGTGTCAGTTGCTGTTTTAAAAATTACATTAAGAAAGAGTTGTCAGTCATTGCCTATTTTTATGAGAAAGCTGTTTCCTTCCACCAGCTATTCCTCACATTTGCCCCCATGCCCTTAAGCACCTTGGCTTCAACTGATTGGGTTGCAATGGAGAAACAATCTTTTTTTGTTCTCTCTCTGTCTCTCCCTCTGTCTCTCTGTCTCTGTCTCTTTCTCTCTGTCTCTCTCTCTCTTTCTGTCTCTGTCTCTGTCTCTGTCTCTCTCTCTCTCTCTCTCTCTCTCTCACATACACACACACACACACACACACACACACACGCGCACGCACATACTAACTTAAATGGTAGAGTAAATTGGTATCTGAGTCAGGCTAATGGTAATAAACTAGAGAAGACCACAGGTTTCTGCTGTGAGATCTTCAGGGCTGGTCAGGTTCTAAAGTTTCAGAAGACCTGGATGTGTGCTGTGTTTCATGTAAGCATCTTTGTAACAAAATGAACTTTTTCATTAACTTCAGTTGAATAGGTTTCTATATCTTGATACTAGAGATGGCCTAAGTAAATTTAATTTTAAAGAAAACCACAATATTTTTACCATAAAATTACATTCCTTAGCTATGAATTAGCCTTTTATTAAAGCAGTACTAGTCAAACCATTATACT